TACCAGACTGAAGTATCTAGGGTTCAATACCCACCTCTGGCTCTGGTTCCTGATCCCAGTTTTCTGCTAATGGGAACCCTGGGAGGCACTGGTAATAGCTCAAGTAGTTTGGTACCTGCCACTCATGTGGGGGATCTGGCTTGAGTTCCAGGCTCCTGGCACCGGTCTGACCTAGGCCTAGCTGTTGCAGGAATTTGGGGGGTGGATAAGAGGATACAAGATGGGTAAAGCCGCTGTGTACAGTGCCAGCATCCCATATGGGTGCCAGTTCAAGTCCTGGCTGCTCCACTTCCAATCCAGCTCTCTGCTATGGCCTGCAAAAGCCGTAGAAGATGACCCAAGTCATTGGGCCCCTGCACCTGCATAGGAGACCCTAAAGGAGTTCCTGGTTCCTGGCCCAGCTCAGGCCATTGAGGCCATCTGGGGAATGACCCAGCAGATGGACAACTTTGTCTCTCTCTCTCTCTCTAACTCTACCTCTCAAATAAAAAAAAAGATTTTATTTATTCACTTACTTGAAAGGCAGAGTTACAGAGAGACAGGGGCAAAAGCAGACAGAGATCTTCAATCTGCTGGTTCATTCCCCAGATGGCTGCAACAGCCAGAGCTGGGCACATCCAAAGCAAGGGCCAGGGGTTTCTTGCAGGTCTCCCACACAGATGCAGGGGCCCAAGCACTTGGGCCACCTTCCACCGCCTTCCCAGGTGCATCAGCAGGGAGCTGGATTGGAAACGCTGCAGCCAGGACTTGAACAAATGCCTATATGGGATGCCGGCACTACACACGGTGGCCTTACCTGTTCTGCCACAGCACCAGTAAATAACATCTTAAAAAAAAGAAAGGGGCCAGCACTGTGGCATGGTAGGTAAGGCTTCCACCTGCAGTGCCAGCATCCATATAGATGCTGGTTCGAGTCCCAGCTGCTCTATTTCCGAACCAGCTCTCTGCTATGGCCTGGGAAAGCAGTAGAAGATGGCCCAAGTCCTTGGACCCCTACACCCATGCAGGAGACCCGGAGGAAGCTCCTGGCTTCTGCAACTCTGGCCAATGCAGCTGGGAAATGAACCAGCGGATGGAGGACCTGTTTCTCTCTCTGCCTCTGCCTCTCTGTAACTCTGCCTTTCAAATAAATAAATAAATCTTAAAAAAAAAAAAAAAAAAAAAGGAAAGCAGGAAGGAAGAAATCTGAGCCACATGCAGTTGAAATCTGTGTGTCACTTTATTAAGTCCTGATCAATCACTGAGGGGGCCCAAAGAAGCCCTCATTTCCAGAGGAGACAACCGAGGCCAAGGAAGCAGCACACTGCTGGCGTGTGCAGAGGCCGGGACAGAAGTCAGGAGCCCTGCCAGAGGCCGGGACAGAAGTCAGGAGCCCTGAGAGAGCTTGCGGGAATGCCAAGGGGTCAAACAGCAAGAGGCGTCTTACAGACAACACAGGCCCTGCTGTGATCCTCTTGGGAACCCTGGTCTCCCAGAGGTGCGCGCAGGGGAGGAGGGGTCACGGGAAAGCCCAATGAAGGCAAAGGGATAGACTTGGCATCTGCATCCCACCTCAGTGTGCTGGACCCCGGGCCTCTTCCCGGACCTACGTGGATTCCAGCTTCCCCCAGGCCAGGAGAAGTGTGCAGCCTGCGTGGTTACTAACGGTGATGGCAAGACTCAGTGGTCCTGAGAGCTTGTTCCTGGCGAACTCACCCGGGGGCCGGAAAGCAAAAGCAGCAGACAGGAAGTTCTCGTGCAGAAAAGACTTCCTTCTGCCACAGAGCTGCCCTCCAGTGGAACTGAGGAATTCTCCAGGCCTTTCTAGTCCCCAAACCCTCCAATTCCAGGAAACCAGGCAGCTTCCACTGCTCCTCTGAATAACTCACGCATTCCTTTCCTCTTAGTAAGAACAAATACTAGGTTTTTCTTGGGCCAGGCACAGACACAGGGAAAACAGCAGAGTTTCCATAGACAAAGAATAAGAGAAGCCGCACATGGACACTCTTCCCAGAAACGTCTAAATCTGCCTGCTTGGAACAGAAGGACCTCGAAAGACAAGAAGTGCATTACACGGATCATCCTTTGCTTTCCAGGCCTCTCGGCGGCCTTGTCACGTGAAGAAATGCATGCATGTTGGACAGCGCGAGGAGCGAGACTGGCCAGGCCCTAGCTTCCACCCTTCACCCCGATCACAGGTCTCAGCAGCACTGTTCAGCAATCACGGCGCAGGGATATAAACTGGAGGCCAGGACGCTTCTAGGACAACTCCAGGTCACAAGGTCACGGCACACCTTCAGTTCTGTGTCGCCAACAAAGGCAGACAGAGCTCAGAGTTCCAATGCTCACCAAACCCGGTGGTCTGCGGGTAACCTGTGCTCGTTAAAACGCACACAACGCCCGGCTTCAAGCAAATCTGGAGTGTTGCTCCCGGCTCGGTCTCCAAGCCTCACGAAATATGTTAGAGGAGGGAAACAGTTGAAGCGTACTTGTTAATAATTCTTCCGCTCTGTTTTTCCATGAGGCGGATTTCTTTTCAACAGTCACAGAGTTCAGAGAAAAATAAAATCACTGCAAAACTAAAAGATGCTATCCTCACATAAAGTATTAATACTGAAAACTTATCAATGTATTTCATCAAAAGGACACGGAACACACAACCTGAAGCCCAACAGCAAAAGACACGCACTCCCTTTGGACAAGAGACGGATGCAACAGTGGCTACAGCAGCGAATGCTACAGTGGCAGAAGCTGCACTAACATTACCCAGCCCAGCAAACACACTCAGGGACTCACACGTTCCCCTTTGATGTCAGTTTTAATAAGCAGCTGGTTTCTCTAGGAAGAAAAAGAGGGGAGAAACTTTAAATTTACATCTTTAAACTTCAGGTACAATAAAAAAAATTTTTTGCCTCCTGGCTCTAATTTCCAAGTCCACCTCATTTTCTTTTTCTTGTTCAAACATCATGAGTCATATCAAACATCTGGTGCTCACGAAATTTACTGCTTTAAATTCAACTGAAAACTGACCGTCCACAACTGAACAAGTGCCATCTCAATTCAGAGAAACTGAGTGCTGACTTCATCTCTACACAGCATCTCCATACCTGTATTTGAAAATGTAGATTTTTTCTTTTCCTCTTGACTTGGAGGGGAAAAAAGCAACAACGAATGCAGCCATCACAAACAGGACTCATTCGGGGAGGAAAACGGGGGCTCTCTCCCTGAGCGCCTCCTCTGTGACAGCTTTTTTTTTTTTTTTTTTTTGGCAGGCAGAGTGGTCAGTGAGAGAGAGAGACAGAGAGAAAGGTCTTCCTTTTGCCGTTGGTTCACCCTCCAATGGCCACTGTGGCCAGCGCGCTGCGGCCAGCGCACCACGCTGATCCGATGGCAGGAGCCAGGTACTTATCCTGGTCTCCCATGGGTGCAGGGCCCAAGCACTTAGGACATCCTCCACTGCACTCCCTGGCCACAGCAGAGAGCTGGCCTGGAAGAGGGGCAACCGGGACAGAATCCGGCGCCCCGACCGGGACTAGAACCCGGTGTGCCGGCGCTGCAAGGCGGAGGATTAGCTTAGTGAGCCGCGGCGCCAGCCCTGTGACAGCTTTTAAAAATGATTCAGAATCATCTAAACGTCTACTAGTTAAGCACCAGACTAAACCCTCAAATGCCAAGTGTTCGTTTGCCGTGGTAATGGAATAAAAGGCTGGGAACAGGCAGGACTGGCCAGTAGGATCTGAATCTTCAGACGGGAGGGCCAAAGCTTTAAGCCGCACTGCTCCTTGTTAACTTTTCATTAGCCTCGTCAACAAGAAAATCCACAGGCTGAGGTTCGGATTCTTTCCTTTCCCGGGCTTTCCCTCCGGCAGGGGCAGGAACGGGGGAGGGCACAAAGTCTAGAGTACATCAGAAAACAAGGCAGAACATCCCGCTTGAGAGGCAGCCACGGGAAAGCAGGGGGAAGAAAATCCAGTTCCCCATTTTCAGCCTGGCGACTCCCTTCCAGAACTCAGCACTGCCTGCCAAAAGCAACGGCGGTGGAGCAGATGACTAAATATCACCCTCAACCTCCGCCTGGCCTCATCGCGGGAAGTCTTGGTGGCTCCTCGGCTGAGACATGGAGGGGCAGAGCAGCCAGAGACGGGGGCCCGGCGGAGCAGGGATGCAACCACGCTGAAGCCCCCTTTCTAGTCCTTGTCGTATTCAGATGAACACAAGCTACCTGCTGAGTTTGGGACTAACTACACTGCGCATCTGCTCTCACACACACATTGCACTCGCTTGTGAATCCCAGAAAGCGGCCTTGGCGAAGCCAGCTGAAGTTGCAAAGCAATGCATCCCTCCGGGCCAACACAACCAGAGAAAGTCACTGAACTGAATTCACCCTGACAGAATGCAAAGGGGTTACTAGGAGCACAGCCCAGCAGCCGCTCTTTGCTGAACGAACGGGCTTCACCTGGGCGAAGGAGCCAGGGAAAAATCTCTTTGACAGGATACCTGGCCTCCTTCTCAGCTGTACAGAACATCCTGCCACGCCCTCCTGATAAATCCAAGCCATCAACTTCGGAGACTTATAAAATACCCTGTTACCTTGGGCGCCCTGTGCTCCTGACCAGCCAGCGGCCACGTCCTCCCTAACACCCCAGACCCAGGACGGCTGTTCTTGAATCCACGGTCTGCTACCCTCCTCATCCACTAGTGCATTAAACTTCTCCCCTTCATCTTCAAAACTTGTCCCCCCCGCGGCGTGGACGAGGACCCCGCACTGGGTAAACGAGGCCAGCTTCTCAAGAAACTCCAGGAGCCCGAGCGGCGACCTGCACAAAAAGCCCTCTCTGGGTACCGAGGGTCTGCGAGCCCGCGCTCCCCGACGCCCGCCTGTCCGAATCTGAGGGTCCCAGGTTGAAAGCGGGGAGGGGGCGCGCCGCCCCCGCCCGACGCCCCGCCCTCTCCCCCGGAGCCTCCGCCCTCGTCCCTCTGTCCGCTCCACGGGAGACCAGCCTCGTGCGTGCCTTTCCGACCTGTACCCGTGGGGAGCCAGTCCACAGCGCGACGCCTCCATGGCCGGCTCTCCGGAACGGCAAGCAGGGGCAGACCCCCAGACGCCGCTGCTGGGGTGGCAAGTCTGGCCGGCGGCCGGGCCCCGCCCCCTGGCAACCACACCCCGCACTGTCGCCGGCGCCCATTGGCCCTCGCGCCGGCCGCCCCTCTCTCATTGGATTCCTAAGGGGCGGGAGGAGCCCGGGAGTTAAAGGCGCCTGCGCCAGGGCGGGGACGCGGCGCCGGGGCTGGATCCCCTGGAGCGCTGGGCTGGGCAGGCACTGAGCGCCGGATGTGTGGGCGTCCGCCGGGCGCCTGGGCTCCCTGCAGCCGACAGGGGCGTCCGCCCGAGGAGCAGCCCACCCCCACCTTGCGCCACCCAGGGAGCGGCTTCGGCCTCGCAGCCGCGTGCATTTGCAGACCCTTGCGCCGCCCTCGCCTCCGTAACCCACAGAGAACTGCTCCAGCTCTTCCCTGGTGCACAGAGGACAGGAGAGGATGTTTCCGTCCCCCCCCCCCCCCATTTCCTGGGAACCAACTACTCTCTACCAAGGCTGGGGAACTATCACTTGGTCCGGCCCTGCCAAGGCAGCTGCAGGCGGGACTCGTGGAGCAGGCTAACTTTTAAGTTGGTAATGCTCCACGGCCCACGGAGATGTTACAAATTTCCAAATGGCACTCGGCAGAAAAGAGTTCCCAACCCCTGAAGTTGTCTCCGTGGCATTTCCCATCGTCAGCTGTTTGCACATGGGTTACATCTTTAGGAGGGGCTGGCACCGTGGAGCAGAAGGTGAAGCGGCCACTTGCAAGGCTGGCGTCCTCTAAGGAAAGCCTGCTGGAATCCTGGCTGCTGCAGTTCTGATCCAGCTCCCTGCTGTTCTGCCTGGGAAAGCAGCAGCTGATGGCTCAAGTGCTTGGGCTCCAGCCACCCACGTGGGAGACCTAGATGGGGATACTGGCTCCTGGCTTTGGCCTGGAACAGCCCTGGCCAGTTTGGTCATTTGGGGAGTGAACCGGCAGACGGAAGTTGTCTCTCTCTCTCTCTCCATCACTCTGCCTTTCAAGTAAACAAATCTTTATTTAAAAAAAATTTAAAGGCATAGATCTTGGCACAAACTAACAGCAGAGCATTGAACTTACTGTGTGACCATAAACATGGCTCACTCTCTGGGCTTCAGATTCCCACCTATAAACAGAACACCTGCTTGGTCCAGCTGGGACTGCACCTGACACAGTGTAGGCTCCTGAATGCTCAGTGAATGGGGCTTAAATGAGATGCTACTTGCATAACCCACGTGACACTTTGTTGACTGGGCAAGCCTGCATTAGCTCCAACAGTATTCAAAAAGGTCCACGTTTATGTATACACCGTTATTATAAGAAACCATTTTCCTACCCTTATTTAATATTTACAGATTTAACATTTACAGGTTTCTTGGGTGGAAACACTCAAAGCACAAGCTGATCTAAGTGCCCCCTCTGTGTGTGCCACTCATCCCTGATCCCACTGCATTCACTAAGGCAGGCCCTGAGCCCCTGTTCATCTTGCTCTGTCAGCACACGAGCCAAGAGGAGGGGTGACAGAAGGCCACTCCGAGGCCCCGGGCTTTGCTTTGACTACCCCTGTCCATCAGTTGACACTGAGCCTCAGAGTTGATACTCAAAGATGTGGATGAATTAGTTTGAATGCAGTGATTCAAGGACTGATGAGTAGTGGTGAAAACATAATTAAGAAAGATTTTTGTGGGTGGGTAATATTGTTACACTACTGACAGGAGCAGGGTTCTCTAAAAACTTTATGCAACTGTTTATTTATACACATGTTAAACAGGTTCAAGGTATTTTAAAGTTAATATAAGAAAACACATGAGCAGTTCATGACACTGAACTCAACTGTTTATGGTCAAGTTTCTTAAGAGGCAAATCGGGAATTAAATTCCCCTATGACCCTGGGCTCTAGTTACATCTAGTTTCTGCTGGTGTTATGTCCATTTTATTCTACAGAAACACTCCCTGGTGTGCCAGAAAAGTGACATTCACAGCCCTGTTAGGACTGCTGGTGTGGGAGCAGCTGTCCGGGAATGCAGTCAGTTCTTCACAAGGAACTGGCTTCTGCTCAGCTTCCCTCTCTCCCTGAGGTATGCAAGCAAGTGCTGTCGCCTCCTCCACGTGACCTTCACCCCGTACTTCTCCTCAGGGGTGTCTTCAGCCAACACAGGCCCAGGCTCTGGGCTGCTGGGAGTGCCGAGGTGAAGGGGACAGCTTCGCAGGCCGTTCTCCTTCTGGTCTGGGGGAATGGCTTCTCCCCTCACCAAAGAGGGCTCTGGGGTCTGGATGTCAGGAGGAATGAACACGTGAGGCAGGCTCTCAGGGGAACTCACAGATGGGTCCCCACAGCTCTGGGGACTGAGCACTGGAACCAAGGGCCTCCTGGAAACGTCCTTTTCTGATTGATGGGGACACTCCTTCACTGAGGGGATCCCCAGTGTCTCTGAACTGGAAGAAGTGGGTGGACTCTCAAAAGTGAGATGTGGAAACTTGGATGTGGTGGATTTCCGACTTGAATGTCTTCTCTGGTTGCGGGGACGTTTCCGGCACACTGGGAAGCAGCTTTCTGCTGTTATATCAAACTGAGGTGTTACCTAAGGATTTAAAAATAATCGGGTGAGACAAGCCAACCGCCAAGGACTAGCCTGAGACAGGAAACTACTCCCAACGACCAGAATCCTAAATGGGGGTCCACTTCAGTAATGGATGCAAAACAGAAACAAGTGTCTAGTGGCGTAATAGAAGGATATGGGCTTTGGGCAAGTCTTTCAGTCTCTCTGACCTTCAGCTTCCTCACATGTGGGAACGGGGACAATGCCTCTTTTATTTTTATTTTTATTTTTTTGACAGGCAGAGTTAGACGGTGAAAGAGAGAGAGAGAGAGAAAGGTCTTCCTTCCGTTGGTTCTCCCCTCAAATGGCCGCTGCGGCCAGCACGCTGTGCTGATCCGAAGCCAGGAGCCAGGTGCTTCCTCCTGGTCTCCCATGCGGGTGCAGGGCCCAAGCACTTGGGCCATCCGTCACTGCTTTCCCAGGCCACAGCAGAGAGCTGGACTGGAAGAGGAACAATCGGGACAGAACCAGCACCCCAACCGGGACTAGAACCCAGGATGCCGGCGCCACAGGCAGAGGATTAGCCTGGTGAGCCATGGCACTGGCCCGACAATGCCTCTTTCATCGTGCCACAAGGCTGCAACTGCTCCATACACTTCGTGAGGGTAGGGGCCAGTAGTCCTGCTCATCCTTGATCCCCCACCCCTCGCAGCGTGCCTGGCTCAAGGACTGGCCTCAGTAAAGAGTGAATGGCTGACTGCAACAATGGGGAGGGAGGTCAGACACGGACAGCAGCCAGCACAGGACCTGGCAGATGGTATCCAATAAATGCTCATTCCTCGTCTCACCCACAGGACTCTAACGTTTGAAGTTTTCCTCCAGAATCCTGACTTATGGTTTTTCTCCGCCATCCTGAACAAGTTGTATTTATTAAATGCTCTTAGGCAAGGCTTCTGCTTTACTGTAGAACTTCCCTGTCATATAGTTGATATTGTCTTCCAGGCCTGTCTTTTTTTTTTTTTTTTTTGGGGGGGGGGGGGGGGGGAGACAGAGCCAGACAGACCATCTGTTGGTTCACTCCCCATAAGCCTGCAATAGCCAGGAACCAGGAACTCAATCTAGGTCTAGGGACCTGACTCTTTTTTTTTTTTTTTTAAGATTATTTATTTATTTGAAAGTTAGAGTTACATAGAGAGAGAAGGAGCGGCAGAGAGAGAGAGAGAGAGAGAGAGGTCTTCCATCCACTGGTTCAATTAGCCATAATGGCCGGAGCTGCACCAATCCGAAGCCAGGAGCCAGGAGCTTCTTCCGAGTCTCCCACATGGATTCAGGAGCCCAAGGACTTAGGCCATCCTATGCTGCTTTCCCAGGCTATAGCAGAGAGCTAGATCGGAAGTGGAGCAGCCAGGACTTGAACTGGTGCCCATACGGGATGCCAGCACTGCAGGTGGCAACCTTACCCACTACGCCACAGTGCAGGCCCTGAGACCTGACTCTTTAAGCCATCAGCTGCTGCCTCCTAGGGTGTGCATTAGCAGGAAGCTGGAATTGGAAGCAGAGCTGGGACTTGAACCCAGGCACTCTGATATGGGATATGGCTATGTCTTAACTTAATATTTTAACTCTTAAGCCAAATGCCTGCCCCTTCCCAGGGCTTTTTTTTTTTTTTTTTTTTTTTTTTTGACAGGCAGAGTGGACAGTGAGAGAGAGAGACAGAGAGAAAGGTCTTCCTTTGCCATTGGTTCACCTTCCAATGGCCGCTGCGGCCGGTGCGCTGCAGCCAGCGCATCGTGCTGATCTGAAGCTGGGAGCCAGGTGCCTCCCCCGGTCTCCCACGGGGTGCAGGGCCCAAGCACTTGGGCCATCCTCCACTGCACTCCCTGGCCACAGCAGAGAGCTGGCCTGGAAGAGGGGCAACCGGGACAGAATCTGGTGCCCTGACCAGGACTAGAACCCAGTGTGCCAGGCGCCGCAGGCGGAGGATTAGCCTATTGAGTCGCGGCGCCGGCCCAGGGCTTTTAAACTGTCAAAATATGACATATGCCATTTCTGTGGGTTGTATTTCAAGGTTCAAAAAATCTAGTACCTAGTTAAATATACCACTTTCACATGATGTGCAGGGCACAATCTCATTTTTACTCATTCTGCCACTTGTTTAGCTTTTCTCACCCAGTTACTAGGTGGTGAATTTTTTTTTTTTTAAGATATTTACTTATTTGAAAGTCAGAGTTACAGAGAGAGGGAGAGGTCTTCCATCCAATGGTTTACTCCCCAGTGGCTGCAACAGCTGGAGCTGCACCAATCAGAAGCCAGGAGCTAGGAGCTTCCGGGTCTCCCATGCGGGTACAGGGGCCCAAGAACTTGGGTCATCTTCTACTGATTTCCCAGGCCACAGCAGAGAGCTGGATCAGAAGTGGAGCAGCCAGGTCTCAAATTGGCGCCCATATAGGATGTCAGCACTGCAGGCCAGGGCTTTAACCCGCTGCGCTACAGTTCCGCCTCCTGGGTGATGAATTTTTTTTTTTATTTTATTTATTTTTTTTTTTTTTGACAGGCAGAGTTAGACAGTGAGAGAGAGAGAGACAGAGAGAAAGGTCTTCCTTTCCGTTGGTTCACCCCCCAAATGGCTGCTACAGCTGGCTGCAGCACACCGGCACACTGCGCCAATCCGAAGCCAGGAGCCAGGTGCTTCCTTTTGGTCTCCCACGCGGGTGCAGGGGCCCAAGCACTTGGGCCATCCTCCACTGCCTTCCTGGGCCACAGCAGAGAGCTGGACTGGAAGAGGAGCAACCTGGACAGAATCCGGCGCCCCAACCGGGACTAGAACCTGGGATGCCGGCGCCACAGGTAGAGTATTAGCCAAGTGAGCCACGGCGCCGGCCTGAATTTTTAACATAAACTCTTTCAGAGGAACATGCACGATGAGGGGTGGGGGTGGGACAAAGAAACAACCATTACACCTAACCCATTCCTTAGTCTGGACTGAGACGGAAGATATAAAGCAGAGGGCTGGTGCTGTGGCATAGCAGGTGAGGGCTGGTGCTGTGGCGTGCGTAGTGGATGACCGTGCCAGCATCCAAGTGGGCACTGTTTCGATTCCCAGCTACCCTACTTCCAATCCAGCTGCCTGCTAATGCAGCTGGGAATACACAGGTGGTTGGGCCCCGGCACCCACATGGGAGACCTGGAGGAAGCTCCTGGCTCCTGGCTTCAGTTTGGCCCAGCTCTGGTGTTGTTGCAGCTGTTTGGGGAGTGAACCAGCAGATGGAAGATGTGTGTGTGTGTGTGTGTCCCTATCTCTAACTCTGCCTTTCAAAGAAATAAAATAAATCTAAAAAAAAAAAAAAAAAAAAAAAAAAAAAAAAAGATATACCAGAAAACAGCTGATCACACAGTACATTGCCTCCTTGTTCCTATACCCATGAATCTTCTTAGTCTTTGGGGGTCCTGGTCGCAGGGGGAGAAAAGACAGAATTCTAATGGAGCAAAAGGCAAAGAACCTCACAGGCCTACCCAGGAAGTGATGGTGCTGTGGTCAATCGGCTTGCTGGGCACCTGCACGGTGTGGGTGGTGGGAGGCTGAGGAGATCCAGAGTGGTGCTTGGGTCCCTCCAGTGGTTCCTGGTGGAAGAGCAGCTGGGCTTTCTGGCACCGCTGCTGGCGTTTTTTTCTGGGAGGCATCAATAGGTGGATGAAGAGCAGTTAGCAAGCACATGATGCTGGTTGCCTTCGGGTTGGGGGACAGGCTCCAGTTCCAACCCATGCCTGCAGAGAGCAAACCAACGCTGAGAGAAAATTCAGACGACGCCCGGCTCTCTCTGATACGCTGCCAGCCAAGTGTACCATGAACTCCCTTCCCTACCTCAAGGCTTTGCCTACCCTGTACCACCAAGCAAAACCAGTTTTCCTATTCAACAGCACCTGTTCCATAAGCATGTGCTGACCATGTGTGAAGTGCCATGCTGGAAATCTAAAGACAAATAATAACCATTTGTCCAATAATCACTCACTGAGCACCAGGCACTTGTGATGCAGAGGTCCCTGTCTTCAGGAAGCTAAAAAGTTTAGCAGAGACAGACAAATACAATACAATATGACAATACAATATGCTTCCAAACACCTTAAGGGAGGCTTTCCTGATGGGAAGGCACTTCCTTGACATAGGTACGCAAAACGTAAGAGAAGCAAAAAAAAAAAAAAAAAAAAAAAAAGCAAAAAGCGGGGAGGCACTCCAGCCTGAGGGACAGCATGCATAAAGGCAGTACTGCGAACTCAGGCAGCACAGAGCCACCAGCCACGCTGAGGAGGGAAAGATGAGGGGGAAGAACCGGGGCTGGACACGGTGTGAGGGTTAGGTTAGATAAACCAGGCGAGGCCGCAGGAGTCTGCGTTTTAGCCTGAGTAGTTACTGAAGAATTTCAGAAAAATTTCAGAAAAATAGCATTGTATTTGGTTACTTTTTAAATTTTCACCCCAGATAATTTAGAACATATACAAAAGTAGATGAATAATATAGTACCCCCCAATGTACCCTTCACCCAGCTCCAATAACCATCAGCCCATGACCAATCCTGACCCATGCACACCCCACCCATTCCCCTTACCCCTGGATTATTTAGAATGTTTTTTAAAAATATATATTTGTTGGGGGCTGGCACTGTGGTGCAGTAGGTAAAGCCGCCGCCTGCAGTGCTGGCATCCCATAAGGGCGCCGGTTCAAATTCAGCTGCTCCACTTCCGATCCAGCTCTCTGCAATGGCCTGGGAAAGCAGTGAAGATGGTCCAAGCCCGTGGGCCTCTATACCCACGTGGGAGACCTGGAAAGAGTTACAGAGAGGCCGAGGCAGAGCGAGAGGTCTTCCATTTGCTGGTTTACTTCCTAGATGGCCACAGGTAATGCTGCCTTTCAGATAAATAAATAAATAAATCTTATATGTATTTGTTGAAAGAACTACGTAGAGAGGCCAACACCATGGCACAGTAGGCTAAGCCTCCGCCTGCAGCACTGGCATCCCATGTGGGCACTGGTTCGAATCTCAGATGCCCATCTTCCAATCCACATCTCTGCGATGGCCTGAGAAAGCAGTAGAATATGGCCCAAATCTTTGGGCCCCTATACCCACATGGGAGACCTGAAAGAAACTCCAAGCTCCTGGCCTCAGAACGGCCCAGCTCTGGCTGTTGTGGCCATTTAGAGAATAAACTAGCACATTGAAGCCTTTTTCTCTGTCTCTCCCTCTCTGTCTATAACTCTACTTCTCAAATACATAAAATCTTAAGAAAAAAAAAAAGAGGTACATAAGCTACATAGAGAGGGAGACACACACACACACACACACACACACACAGAGGTCTTCCATTTGCTGGTTTATTCCCCAGATGGCCACAGCCAGGGCTGGACCAGGCCAAAGTAGGAAACAGGAGCCTCCTCTGAGTCTCCCACATGTATGCAGGGGCCCAAATACTTGGGCCATCTTCTGCTTCTTTCCCAGGGGCGTTAGCAGGGAGCTGGATCAGAAGTGGTGCAGGCCAGCGCCGTGGCTCAATAGGCTAATCCTCCACCTGCGGCGCCGTCACACCGGGTTCTAGTCCCAGTCGGGGCACTGGATTCTGTCCCAGTTTCCCTTCTTCCAGGTCAGCTCTCTGCTGTGGCCCGGGAGTGCAGTGGAGGATGGCCCAAGTGCTTGGGCCCTGCACCCCATGGGAGACCAGGATAAGCACCTGGCTCCTGGCTTCGGATCAGTGCGGTGCGGTGGCCGCAGCGTGCTGGCCGCGGCAGCCATTGGAGGGTGAACCAAAGGCAAAGGAAGACCTTTCTCTCTGTCTCTCTCTCTCTCACTGTCCACTCTGTCAAAAAAAAAAAAAAAAAAAGAAGTGGAGCAGCCGGGACTCGAACCAGCGCTCACATTGGATACTGGTGCTACAGGCACTACAGGCAACAGTTTAACTCACTGCGCCACAGCACCGGCCCCATCTTCTGCTGCTTTCCCTAGGTTATTAGCAAGGAGCTGAATCGGCAGTGGAGCAGCTAGGACATAAACGGGCGCCCATATGGGATGCTGGCATTGCAGGCAATGACTTTACTCACTACACCACAATGCTGGCCCCAAAGGATATATTCTCAGCCATTATATCATTCTCATTAACACAACTATATGAAGTTTAATGAAGTATATATGGGGGCTGGGGGCGGCGCTGTGGCACAGGTTAGGCCACTGCCTGCAATGCAAGCATCCCATATGGGCACTGGTTTGTCTTGGCTGCTCGACTTCTGATCCAGCAGAAGATGGCCCAAATAAATGCTTGGGCCTCTGCACCCACGTGGGAGATCCAGAAGCTCTTGGCTCCTGGCTTTGGCCTAGCCCAGCCCCAGCTGTTGCGGCCATCTGGAGAGTGAACCAGTGGATGGAAGATCTATCTCTCCCTCTCTTTCTCTCTGTAACTCTTCCTTTCAAATAAATAAGTCTTTAAAATATAAACATATACATACACACACACACGCTTGTGTCTAAGAACCTACATACATCAATTCCTCATCATCAAATATTCAGCCAATGTTCAAATTTTTGTTTCACAAATGTTTTTGCTTGTTTGTTTTTAAGATTTATTTATTTATTTGAAAGGCAGAATTACAGAGGCAGAGGCAGAGAAAGAGAGAGGTCTTCCATCCGCTGGTTCACTCCCCATATGGCCACAACGGCCAGAGCTGTGCTGATCCAAAGCCAGGAGCCAGGAGTTCTTCCAGGTTTCCCCTCAATGCAGGTGCAGAGGCCCAAAGACTTGGGCCATCTTCCACTGCTTTCCCAGGCCAGAGCAAAGAGCTGGATCAGAACTGGAGCAGTCAGGACTCGAACCGACACTCATATGGGATGCCGGCACTCATATGGGATGCCAGCACTGTAGGCAGCGGCTTTACCCGCTATGCCACAGCACTCCCCCCCCCCATCCTGTTTTGATTCATCTGTGCCCTGTAGTCAGATCGTCCTGGCAACAGTCTGAAAGCAGAGAACAAGCTCCCTGGAAGTAGGAGGAGCAGTCAGATTATGGCGCCATCCAAGTGAAAAATGATGACGGCCTGCACCTGGGCTGCGTCAGTGGCGATGGAAGCCGAGGCAGAGTCAACAGTTCCCAGATAGCAGTAGTAAAAGTCTGAAGAAGCATCCATTCGCTCTAGTAACAAGATCAACTTTACAAGCGCTTCTGCGAGAGACCGGTGGAACACAAGTGTGAACGCAGCGCACAGAGACAAAAGGCAGGTGCAGCACACAAAGCCGACTGCTTCCACTCTATGGTCACTCGTGGTTCATTCATTTGTCCAACAATAAAAAACTACACGCTCCAACTTAGGTGACTAAGTGGTTAGAGACACAGGTAAAGAGAAAGGCAAAGCCTCTATCCGAACGGACTCACGTTTTTAGGGAGAACATAAGTAGTAAGTACATGTATGTATTCATTCACTCGTTTGACATTTATTTGCAGAATGCCTGCTGGTCCTGGGCATGGTGCAGGTGCTGTGAATGTAAAATCCCTACCCTCCTGCTGCTTGTGTTCTTGTTGGGAGAGATCAAGGATATGCAGAAAAACCAAACAGCATAAGGAGCGGAACTAAGTGCCGCATTAGGACTGTCAGGTAGGGCTATCTGAAGAAGTAATGTCTGAACACAAACCTGAAAGAAAGGAGGAGCAAGCAACGGAACAATGGGACAGAAGGATATTCCAGGCTGAGAGAACAGAGAAGTGCAAATGTGCCATGGTGGCAGTACACCTGGTTTGTTTCAGAAACAGGAAGGTTGGCACGGCTAAACTGGAGAGTGCAGGAGGCGAAGTGGCAGAAAGGCAGATGGCGGGGCCGGCGCTGTGGCATAGCTGGTAAAGCTGCCGCCTGCAGTGCCAGCATCCCATATGGGCGCCAGTTCAAGTCCCGTCTGCTCCACTTCCGATCCAGCTCCCTGCTAATGGCCTGGGAAAGCAGTGGAAGATGGCCCAGTTCCTTGGTCCCCTGTGAGAGACCCAGCAGAAGTTCCTGGCTCCTGGCTTTGGGCTGGCCCAGCTCCAGCCATTGCAGCCATCTGGGGTCTTCCATCCAAGGATTCACTCCCCAGAAAGGCAGCAAATGAAAGATTCTCTCTGCCTTTCTGTAACTCTGCCCTTCAAATAAATAAAATAAATCTTTAAAATTAAATAAATAAATAAATAAAACATTAAAAAAAAAAAAAGGCAGACAGCAGTCCCCATGACACAGGGCTTTACAGGCAAGGTTAGGGCTCTGGCTACTGTGTAACACTTCATGTGATAGGAAGCCACTGAAAACTTCTGGACAGGAAAGTGACACAATCTGGATCATACTTTTAAAAGACAACTCTAGGGGCTGGCACTGTGGCGCAGTGGGTTAACGTCCTGGCCTGAAGCACCAGCATCCCATATGGGCGCCGGTTCGAGACCCAGCTGCTCCTCTTCCGACCCGGCTGCTCCTCTTCTGATCCAGCTCTTTGCTGTGGCCTGGGAAAGCAGTAGAAGATGGGCCAAGTCCTTGGGTCCCTGCACCCGCATGGGAGACCCGGAAGAAGCTCCTGGCTCCTGCTTCGGATTGGCAGGTCTTACACCCTGGTCTTAGCTGCAATGCAGATATTAGGGAGAGCAGCCCCCACTCCCCCGCTGCGCCAAGCCATTGAAGAAGAGCTTACAGGGTCACACTGCAGGGCTGCTGGTCTCAGTACTCCACAAGCCTATGAAGGTCAATTCCGCCCACCATGGCAGCTGAGTGACTGCAGGACCAGTCAGCTGGAATCTGACAACCTGAGACCTCTGTCCTCTGCACCCTTCCCATGGTTTGTAGCTCCAGCCGTTGCGGCCAATTGGGGAGTGAACCATTGGATGGAAGACCTCTCTCTGTCTCTCCTTTCTCTGTGTAACTCTTTCAAATAAATAAATAAATCTCAAAAAAAAAAAAAAAAAAAAAGACAACTCTAGGGGGGCTGGCATTGTGGCTTAGTGGACTAAGCCTCTGCCTACAGAACCAGCATCCCATATGGGCGCCAGTTTGTGTCCTGGCTGCTCCACTTCTAATCCAGCTCTCTGCTATGGCTTGGAAAGGGGAAAATGTCCCAAGTCCTTGGGCCCCTGCACCTGCATGGGAGACCCGGAAGAAGCTTCTGGCTCCTGGATTTGGATTGGCCCAGCTCTAGCCGTTGTGGCCATTTGGGGAGTGAACCAGCAGATGGAAGACCTCTCTCTCTCTCTGTCTGCCTCACCTCTCTCTGTCTGTAACTCTACCTCTCAAATAAACAAATCTTTAAAAAGAACAGATTCCCACACATCAGAGTGCTGGCTGGAGTCCCAGCTCCTCCACTTCTGACCCAGCTCCCTGCTAATGTGCCTGGGAAAGCAGTGGAGGATGAGACTCAGATGAAATTCTAGGTTCCTGGCATTAATCTGGTCACACCCTAGCTGCTGCAGGCATTTGGGGACTGAACCAAAAGATGTAAGATCTCCTTTCCTCTCTCCCTCTGTTACTCTGAGTTTCAGATAAATAAAAATCTTAGAAATAACAAACTCTGGGGGCCGACGCTGTGGTGCAGTGGGTTAACGCCCTGGCCTGAAGTGCCAGCATCCCATATGGGCACCGGTTCGAGACCTGGCTGCTCCTCTTCCAATCAGCTCTCTGCTGTGGCCTGGGAAAGCAGTAGAAGATGGCCCAAGTTCTTGGGTCCCTGCACCCACGTGGGAGACCCAGAAGAAGCTCCTGGCTTCTGGCTTCGGATCGGCGCAGCTCTGCCCATTGAGGCCAACTGGGGAGTGAACCATCGGATGGAAGACCTCTCTCTCTCTCTCTCTGTAACTCTGACTTTCAAATAAAATAAATAACTATTTTTTTTTTTTGACAGAATTAGAGGGTGAGACAGAGTGAAAGGTCTTCCTTCTGTTGGTTCACTCCCCAAATGGCCGCTACAGCTGGCGCACCGCGCTGATCCGAAGCCAGGAGCCAGGTGCTTCCTCCTGGTCTCCCATGCGGGTGCAGGGCCCAAGCACCTGGGCCATCCTCCACTGCCTTCCCGGGCCACAGCAGAGAGCTGGACTGGAAGAGGAGCAACCGGGACAGAACCAGAGCCCCAACCGGGACTAGAACCCAGGGTGCTGGCGAGGCAGGTGGAGGATTAGCCTAGTGAGCCATGGTGCCGGCTCTAAGTAAATAAATCTTAAAAAGAGAGAGAGAAAAATAACAAACTTTGGGGAGAATGTGGAAATTCATGACTTGCTGAGGTCAACAGCCTCAAATGGGTGCTACATTGTTTGGCAATCTTGCTATTTCTTTAATCAGTTCATTCTCCACAAAGATTAAGCCTTTTTTTTTTTTTTTTAAAGCAATCTATGTTTATGACAGAGCAGGACAGAAAGATCCCATCTACTGGTCCACTTCTGAAATGCTTGCAATAGCTAGAGGCCCAGCGATGGGAGCTGGGAACTCAGAGCAGTTCTCCCCCATGAGTGGCAGGGGCCCCGTTACGTGAGCCATCACTGCTGCCTCCCAGGATCCTCACTGGCAGGAAGCCAGAGCCAGGTGTCCAACCCAGGCACTACAATGAAGGACACAGGTGCCTCAACAGGGGCCTAACTGGCGGGCCAAAGGCCTGCCCCTCCGTGTTCTTTTCCATTTAAAGATTTGTTTATTTATTTGAAAGGCAGAGTTACAGAGAGGCAGAGAGAGAGAGAGAGGGGGGCAGAGAGATCTTCCTTCCACTGGTTCACTCCCCAAATTGTTTCAATGGCCAGAGCTGTGCTGATCTGAAGCCAGGAGCCAGGAGTTCTTCTGCGTCTCCCACGTGGATGCAGGGGCCTAAGCACCTGGGCCATCTTCTTCTGCTTTCCCAGGCGCATTAGCAGAGAGCTTGATCAGAAGTGGAGCAGCCAGGACTAGAACTGGTGCCCGTATGAGATGCCAGCACTACAGGCGGTGGCTTTACCCGCTATGCCGCAGCGCTGGCCTCTCCACGTTCTTAAAACCTCAGAAATGACATTACTTCCTACTTCACAAAAAATACAGATGACATCAAAGGAAATGCTGGGATTTTGCAGAAAGCAAACATACACGCCTACATAAATCTGTAGCCATCCTCTTCCCTTGTGGTCTAATCAGAAGTCAGCCCTTTCTGTTCCCCCCGGCTGGGCTCTGACCTGGTTCTCACTCTATGCTCTTAGGCAATGTCCTCTGCTCACACTTCAACAACCACCTAGAGGTAGACGACCTCAGCACTACCTCTTCAGCTTAAAACTCTAAGCTCTGCACTCAGATGTCCTGCTGCCTGCTGAACAGCAACTAGATGTCGCAAGCGCGCCTCCAATTCCGCACTAACATTTACAACTGAACCATGGTTCCCCCAGCACCTCCCACCCCTAACCCCGGCCAAAGTGATTATGCTGGGGCAGAGGGGGGACTTGCTCAAGGGACAGCATCATCAGTCCTCCAGTTAGGCAGCCAGAAACCTTGACACTCCCCTCCCTGCTCCCCACCCAACACCAAGCCTGCAGATTTCTCTCTTAAATATGTCTCTTTCTGACTGCTCTCTCCTTCTCCGTTCTCTTTTCTCTCCCCATTGCCCTTCTTCAGATTCCAACGCGTCTAGAACAGCAATGGCCTAACAGGTCTACCCTAATCCCCTCTGGTGCCTCTCTCTTAAAAATGCAAATCCGATCTTGGGTCTCTCCTACTTAAAAGCTGTTGATTGGCTTCCTCTGCTTCTCGGGTCAGAACAAAATTCCTCAGCACGGCGAAGGCCCTACCTCTTCTGGCTGCAGCTTCGACTCACACCACAATCCGTCCTAGTCTCTTAGCTCAGACCCGGATATTCCTAAGCCTTTGATTCCTCCCGCCGGGCATCGTCTTTGCACACATTATTCCCCTCTTCTACTCAAGAAAGCGTCTCTCCTTTCTCTGCAAAAGGCGGCAGGGCTCACAGCACGGTGCAGTTCATCCGAAAGGCCCTGCCTGTCCTACCTAAGAGTGCACTGATGACGAGGAGCGGGAGGATGCTTTCATTCTAAGTTTATTTGACTCTTGCAAAAACATCCATACTCCCGTCCCCCCAGCCCCTCCATTAACCTACAAGTTCAGGAGAAGCAAAAGACCTTGTCTTTCATCCTAGCAGGGAGCTGCAAAAGGTCCACGGACGATTCGCATTTATCTTTCCATTTCATTTCTCCACGAACTTCTGCAGCTCCTCGGTACCTTCGGGGCCTGCCCGTGCCCGCCCATGGTGGCTGCAGAATGCGTCTCCGGTCTCTTCCAGGTAAGGCCGGGCTGCGAGAGGGAGTGGGGCGGACCGGGGGTCGCAGGCAGGCAAAATCCAAGCCAAGGGCGGGTGGACCGCGGCGAGGGGGCGGGGGGCGCACGCTGCACCCCACCCCCCAGAGGGCTCCTGCAGCAGACGGAGGTCCACTGGACGACCCCGGAGAACGACTTTGCTCAGGAGGGAAATCCGCGGCCACAGCGCTCCAAGGCCGTCGTGAGGAAGCAGGGGGCGATCGCCACCACCCCGCGCCCCAGAGCCGCGCCCCTCTCCCCAGGCGGCTCCTCCTCCGCCCCGTCCGGCGCCGGGGCCCCACTAGCCCGCCGCGGCCGCCTTACCTCCCCGCCGCGCCAGGCCGCCGTGGCTGCTGCTGCCGGGCGCCCACGTTCGAGCCGGAACGCCGAGACAAGCCTGCGCCCATTGGCGGCGCCGCGTCACGTGACCGCAACGTAACCGCAACGCTCCGCCGGCGCCAATTTCAAACAGCGGAACAAACTGAAAGCTCCGGTGCCCGACCGCATCCCCGGCCCCGGCCCGGGACCCCCCCTCCCCTCCCGGGAACCCCCGGGGCTCCCGCCCCTCCCGCGCGTCCGGGACCCGGCCGGCCGGGTGCGAGTCCCTGTCGGGGGCCCTGGCTCGGCCCCAGGTTGGAGGAGGCACAGCCCTGCAGCAGCGGCGGCGGCGGTGCTACAGTCTGGAGGTGAGCGGGGAGCGGCCATGGAGTCCCAGGCCCGGCCGGGGCGGAGGCGGGGAGCCGGGGCTCGGGCGCCGAGCGCAGGGCGCGGGACGCGCGAGTGGAAGTTTTGGGGCCGCTTGGGAAGGAGGTCTGAGCGAACGTGCACATTTTTTTCTGCGTCTAGCTCCTGGCCTTGGCCTTGTCTCTCCCGTCTCCCAAAGCACCCCTTGGCCTTGCCTGCAAGTTTCACCTTTGCACGCTGTCCACAGGCCCAGGAAGGCCTGGATGGCCTGCTTGCTCAGCGTCCACTGTGCCAGGCACGGAGACAGACCTTGTTCTTCATGGAGTGCGAGACCAGCCCGCACACATGCACCCCTGCTCCCGGGCGCTCTCACCATTGCGCAACACTGTCTCCAGCCTACCCCTGCATTCCTAGGCTGTGTCAGGGTCCCCCTGCTGAGGATTGGCACGGGGTCAGAGGAGTCACTCTGGAAGTTTTCCGGCTGGAAGGTTGACAGTAACAGAGAGGCCTGTCAGATAGGAGAGAGAGAGAAGGAGAGATTAAATATCCAGTGGACTAGAGGAATAGTGTCTAGTGAGGTGCATGCCAGAAGGAGGGAAGCCTGGAGGGATGTGAGGTGGAATCACAGCCGAGATTTGAAAGTAGAGGAAGCCTAGATATACAGGAAAGAGGGACAGTAGGGTAGGGAGCGCCTGCGACCTCTGAGCAGGTGGCAAATGTCACAGAATATGTGGTCCTTTTGTAGGGCGATGGAAGGTTTTGTAAAAGAGCCAATTCTGTCTTTGAAAGTACCTTGAAGTAGAATTATACGACTTGACTTACTGGCAGAGTATTCCAAGTATTTGTTAGACTCAACAAAGCACTCTTTTAAAGCCGAAACTACATTCCTCAGATTTCACAACCACCTTAGCACGTTGAGGGTAGCGCATTCTTGTAGTCAGGAGATAGGGGTTCCAAGTCTTGGTCCTGTAAAGGGGATTAAGCAGTAGTATATGTAGGAAGTTAAAGTATGTGTTTAAGCACATGCAAGAACAGAATTGTCATGATGCAAATATTTTGTAAGTTGTGAAAGAAAATGTGATTTTTTGAAAAAATCAGTGCTAGGATAGGAACCTGTAAAATGAATGGCACTCTCCCTTGCCCCCGCCAGAGTTGTGCAGTGTGCAGCTTGTACATTACCATGGGCCTTGAATGGGGAGATCTCCCATTCACCTGAGGTCTTATGAACTGGGCGGTGATGAGTTCAGCGACAGTGCAATCTGCCCTTCTCCCCTGTCCCTGTGGGCACTGATCCTATCATTTGCAACGTAGGGTGACATCCACATCTGAAGCTTGTATCCTAGAATAGATTATGGGCTCAGAGTTCCATCAGGACTCCCGATTGCCACACATCCCCCTATCCCAGTGTCTTCCATTCATGCCCCTACAGTCATTACACATGATCTGTCTGCATTGTATCAGGCAGTAATGGAGATTTCCACGGTTCGTAGCTGTCCTGCTCATTTCTGTAGCCAAACATCCTTCCACTTCCAGAAGGAGGCCTTCGGCTGCGCCATCCCTGCCACACCTTACCCACTGGCGATGCTCCCGTTTGCTGCGCTTGTAGTTTTCTTTCGCCAGGGCAGCTGATCTTATTGTCGGAGGTCTTTGCTCCCATCTCCTGTCACGTGAAGGGGACGCTTGTCTCATCGAATCTCTGACAGCCTGCTGCCCCTCATGCTTTCAGGGCCCATGATTGTGATTCTCGATGGAGAGTGAAAGCGTAGAATCATAATGAAAACCAGCCCCTGTCGGCCACTGATTCTCAAAAGACGGAGGCTGCCCCTACCTGTTCAGAATGCCCCAGGTGAGACATCAGAGGAGGAACCCAAGGGTGCCCCTGCCCAACAGGAGCCTGGTCAAGCACAGGCCTCCCAGGGCGGGGCAGAGTCCAGCTCTTGCAAGTTTCCAGCCGGGATCAAGATCATGAACCACCCCACCATGCCCAACACCCAAGTGGTGGCCATCCCCAACAATGCCGACATCCAGAGCATCATCACGGCACTGACGGCCAAAGGAAAAGAGAGCGGGAGCAGTGGCCCCAACAAATTCATCCTCATCAGCTGCGGGGGCGCCCCAGTGGACCCTCCAGACACGCAGCCTCCAGCCCGATCCAGCAGTGATTCCAAGAGGACAGAGGTGATCCCCGAGACGTTGGGGCCAAAGCCCGCAGCTGGGGACACGACTCGCGCTCAGCCACCCGGAGCTGTTCGCAGGCAGCGTCGGGAGAGCTGTGGTATGTGGCCTGCAGGGCAGGGGGTGGGGAGCCTGCTTTTGCTCTCCGGTGCCGGGGTCTGCAGCCAGCAGGCCAGTGCTTGCAGCTGACAGGTGTCTTGCCTGAACCAAAGGGAAGTCTTGTCTTTACCCCGGAGCTTTGACGCGGATCCTCTGGGTCCCCATTGAAAGAGTTCTGGTCATAATTTAGCATCTCTGTTGCCTTCTTCATATGGGAAAAGGATTTGTTCTTTCTATCGGTCCTTTCAGTGAACCGGATACAGAGGTAGGAGTCTTTCTGGCTCCTAATAAAAGACAGAAGCACGAGTAGGAAAAGTGACTTTTTGTTGCCAGTGCTCAAGCAACGTGGCAGGTTTCCTTGACCGACGACCTGTAAGGTTCAGTGTGGCTCGGATTGAAGTCCATTTGAACTCTGACCCTGAGTTCTCCCCGAAGTCCACAGTGGGGCAGAGTAACTTAGAGCCTCCCCAGATGGCACATGTGTGTCCTGTCACCAAGGGCCGTCCGGGTCTTGGAGGGGTAATCCCTAACCTCCAAAGTGGGTGGGCCTCCTGAGTCTCAGACACAGCAGCTGAGCGGGGTCTTGGATTGTTTCCCCTCTAGCCGGCGGAGAGGCAGCAGGCTGTACTCTCAACAACAGCTTAACCAACATCCAGTGGCTTGGAAAGATGACTTCGGATGGACTGGGCTCCTGCAGCATCAAGCAAGAGGTGGAGGAAAAGGAGAACTGTCACCTGGAGCGGAGTCAGGTTAAGGTGAATTGTTCTGTCGCTCACCAGGGCAGTCAGAGCCAACGCAGGCAATTTCTAAGAAGAGAAATAGTCAAATGGACGCTTGCTAAAGCAGGATTTGCGTGTTCTGCTGTTAGCATTCCCTTAGTGCTACGCTGTATAACTTGTAAATGACTTTTCTGCCTAGGATCTTTTGCTCCCTGGTCTGTGAAATTTTCTTGAGAGCAGATTCTCTGGATTCAGCGCTGGGTTTAGTGTTCTGCCGTTAGCAGGTGGTTAGTGGGTTTTGAGGAGATAATTAAGAGATTTCACTCTGGGAAACCACTTGAACTTCAAAGATGCATCCCAACAGCATGAATTGACTGCAGCAGCTTTAGTGGGATCATTTTTATTTGCTTGAGAGAGAGAAGGACAAAGAGCTTCCATCTGCTGGCTGACTCTCTAAATGCCCTTGACAGGAGACCAGGCCAAATCCAGGAGCCAGGAACTCCAGGTCTCCCACGTGGGTGGCAGAGACCCAAATCCTGGAGCCATCATCTGCTGGGTGTAGGAAGCTGGACTTGCTAGCAGGGCCAAGACCAGGCACCCTGATATGGGACATGGGTGTCCCAAGCCACATCTTAACCACTAGGTCAAATGTTCACCCCACAAGATAGTTTTATTAAAAGATGTACTGTGATTTTTTTGTTAGAAGATACACTATGGTATTAATAGCAAATAAAGTGAATTTTAAATACTTCCCCAGCAATCAAAATTCATCTGACTTAATTGTGTAGTCTAGGTTTGTTTTTCATAGTTGCCAGTATTACACGTATATACCTTTTTTTTAAAAAATATTTATTTATTTATTCGTTTGAAAGGCAGAATTATAGAGCGAAGCAGAGGCAAAGAGAGGTCTTCCATCTGCTGGTTCACTCCCCACATGGCCACAACAGCCAGAGGTGCACTGATCCGAAGCCAGGAGCTTCTTCCAGGTCTCCCACGCGAGTGCAGGGGCCCAAGGACTTAGGTCATCTACTGCTTTCCCAGGCCATAGCAGAGAGCTGGATCAGAAGAGGAGCAGCTGGGACTTGAACCAGCACCCATATAGGATGCCAGCGCTGCAGTGGGGCAGCTTTACCCGCTATGCCACAGCACTGGCTCCTTATTTACCTTTTAATCATTTATTCAACACATCAGTTTATTCACAACACATCTAGAGGTAACACTAAGACTTAGGTCTTTTGACCTACAAGTTTGAAAAATGAGCATGGTTTTAGTATGAAATCAGTGCTTTTTAATCATAGTGTACACACAACTCTTAAGAAATCTTAACCAGGGGCTGGCATTGTGGCATAGCAGGTAAAACTGCTGCCTGCAATGCCAGCATCCCATGGACGTCTCCACTTCTGAACCGGCTCTCTGCTAATGGCCTGGGAAAAGCAGCAGAAGATGGCCTAAGTGTTTGGGCCCCTGTCACACATGTGGGAGATCTGAAAGAAGCTCCTGGTTCCTGGATTAGGCCTGGAGAAGCCCTGGCTGTTGCTGTCATCTGGGGAGTGAGCCAGTGGATGGAGGAGCCCTTTCTCTGTCTCTCCCTCTCTCTCTAACTCTGACTTTCAAATAAATAAATAAATCTTAAAAAAAAAAAAAAAAGAAAAAAGGAGGAGGACAAATTAGATGTTCTCTTATTATTGAACGATATCTTCAGCAAAGTGAATGATGGCAAAGAAGTGGTTCTGTATTGGCTAGGGTCTAGACTAGGTTATATTAATCTCCCCAATCCTAAAATTTTACTCAGTGGAATAGTAGTCTCAGATGAATTTGTTTCTAGTAACAGTTCCAAGGAATATTTCTCTAGGTGGTGCTCTACATGGAGTAGGGGATGGTTCTTTTGTTTTTTAAGATTTATTTGAAAGACAGAATGACAGAGAGAGAGAGACCTTCCATCCACAGGTTCACTCCCCAGAATGGCCACAATGGCCAGAACTGGGCCAGGCCAAAGCCAGGAGCCAGGAGCTCCATCCTGGTCTCCCATGTGGATGGCAAGGGCCTGAAGTACTTGAGCAATCCTCTGCTGCTTTCCCGGGCACATGAGCAGGGAGCTGGACTGCAAGTGAAGCACCTGGAACTCATGCCAGCACTTTGATATGGGGTGCTGCTATCAGAAGTGGAAGTTTTACTCGCTGGGCCACAACACTGGCCCCGGGGGGTTCTTGTGACTCTCCCTGTCATTCCTTTTCCTCTTCCCTTTGGCTTCTCATAACCCTCAGGCTGAGGAGCCCTCCGGAGGATCCACATCATGGCAGGACTCCGTGTCTGAACGGCCACCCTACTCTTACATGGCCATGATACAGTTCGCCATCAACAGCACGGAGAGGAAGCGCATGACCTTGAAAGACATCTATACTTGGATTGAGGACCACTTCCCCTATTTTAAGCACATTGCCAAGCCTGGCTGGAAGGTAACTTGTCCTGTAACAAATGAGGTGGAGGTCACTGCATCCAACGGTGGGGCCCTGGGGAGGGGGCGGCGATGAAGCGCAAAGGATGCTGAGGCTGTAAACAGAGACCTCAACCGGGACTGCTCAGTCTAGGCAGGAGCGTCTTCCGTAGCGGCCAGTCTGTGGCTCCCCGAGATCTTCAGTGTAGCACCCAGCCCACCTTTGGGTTACACTGGACAGCCACCCTAGGTACCAGCGGCTGGACTGGCTAAGAAGCTTTATGAAAAGATCTTAATGGAAAAAACAAAAACACAGAACACAACCTGTAGGCTTTATGACCCAAGGTTCACGTCCTGCACTCACGCTCTCATATTCCTGTAACTTTCCGGTTCCTTATCCCTGACCCGTCTCGCGATCGAATGCTGTTTCAGTCTCCGCTTTCCTAGTCCCCAGCACCTCCCCAGGACTTGCTTCTCACCAGCCTAATGGAACGGCACCAGTCTTTATCCCTGTGGAAATGCACGGGTTTATGGTCGAGATTGGTGGCTCTGCAGTGTGGAGTGCCAGGCAGAGTCGCCAACGGGCAGGGTTCCAGGGACGCTGGACGGAGCCTGTGCGGAGCGCAGTGGGAGGGCCCTGAGGCTGATTCCCCTGCTCGTCTCAATGAGTGATGTTTCTGAAGCCCAAGTTGCCAGTAACCTGTCTTTGTCTTTTCAGAATTCCATCCGTCACAACCTGTCTCTCCACGACATGTTTGTTCGGGAGACGTCTGCCAATGGCAGGGTCTCCTTTTGGACCATTCACCCCAGTGCCAACCGCTACTTGACGTTGGACCAGGTGTTTAAGGTGAATGTCCTGGTGTCCTCTAAACAGGGCCAGAGGTGGAGGTTGTCCCGGCCATCTCGGAAGGAAACGAGTTCTCTTTGCGATGCTTCCATGTGATCGGGGGAGTGAAGGCCGGCCAGACGGTGACTTGCGTAAAACTCGCTGAATTAAGTACAGTTGAGAAATACTGAATGACACACTTCTAGGCTAGGCCACGGCACAGAGAGCGCTGTTGTGACCCAAAATTGAGGATTTCCCAAGACTGCGAATAAGAATTGCCTGGGACATCTGTTAAATTACAGTTTTCCAGACCCGTTTCGCAGGGCTGCTCATTCAGCGGGCCTGGCATGGGCCTAGAAATTTGCATTTTTAAACAAGTGTCTCAGGTGGTTGCTACAGAGAAACCCTGGGAAACTTGAAGTAAAGCCCTTTAGGCCCGAGACAGGAAGCAGAGGCCCCAGAACTTTTTGTTGTGGGATTTCAGGGTGCCCTTTAGGCTGCTGTACCTGCATTCTCTTGGGGGCCCCAGGCGTCCGATGTCTCAGCATCAATCAGGAACAGGTGTTCTTCCCAGCCTGGTTGGTGGTAACTTCATGTCATTTCTCTCCCCTGATGCCTGGCCGCCACCAGCCACTGGACCCAGGGTCTCCACAATCGCCCGAGCACTTGGAATCAGTAAGGTTCTTTCCCTCTGGCTCGGGGCTTTGTCTTGTTTTCCTTTCACTGCTCAGCATGGCTTTCGTGAACAGAGAGAAGACACGAGGCGGGGAAGGCGGTCCACGGCTGTGCAACCGCTGTGCCCGACCTCAGAGCACCTTACAGCTGCTGGAAGTGAGGGACACCAGGCTGCTGGCCACGGGTCTGCCTCTCCTCCTCTTCCCACAGGCATCACCAAGGTGTGCTGTGCAGGGCAGGGCACGGCACAGCAGGAGAACATGCCACAGCAGTGGCAGACGCATGGCACATGGCTCCAGGAAGCGGACAGTTTTCTCACTTTTCTCCCTGGCTTTTCTCTGCCACTCACATGGCTACGTGCTTGGCATCCCTCGGGGTGGTGAGGACAAGTGGGTGAGATGGCAGTGCTGTCCTGCCATCGAATGCTGTCCACCTGTCTGCTTACCAGGGCCTTAGAGATTGTGCCCACCTGTATCCATACCTTCGACTTGGCTTTTTCTTTCTGGGCTGTTGGTTAGCTCAAGTGCACCAGCTCAGGCTGGTGGGGTTCTGCTTCCCCCTTCCCTTATTAACCTAGGTTTCTTTCTCTCCCTACCCGCCACAAGCAGCAGCAGAAACGACCCAATGCTGAGCTCCGCCGGAACGTGACCATCAAAACTGAACTCCCACTGGGCGCACGTTAGTATGGGAGAGTGGGCCTCAGGCCTAGGCCTTGTTCTGGGGGCATATCTGTAGTGGATCAAGACTCCGGGATTCTGTTCCCAGCTCAAAGGGATCTGAGCCCAGAGGAGAGCAAAGCTCCTGGGACTGAGAAGGGGTGGGCCTCTGTCCCCCTGCTCTTATCTCTCTGGTTTCCTCCTAGGGCGGAAGATGAAGCCACTGCTACCACGAGTCAGCTCCTACCTGGTGCCCATCCAGTTCCCAGTGAACCAGTCACTGGTGCTGCAGCCCTCAGTGAAGGTGCCATTGCCCCTGGCAGCTTCGCTCATGAGCTCAGAGCTCGCCCGCCATAGCAAGCGAGTACGCATTGCCCCCAAGGTGAGCGTCTTCTCTCTCTCTCCATTAGAAGTCCTGGACCTATAGCTTGTGAATCACTGTGCTAAATGGTCCTTGGAAGCTGATGAATCTAGCTGGGTAGACAACCATAAAGACACAAGAAAATGTGGTAGCGTGGTAAGAGCTAAAAAGGGATTTGGATTACAACGTAAATGGTGTCAGGAGGCCCATGAATACTTGATGAGTTTTTAAAAATTCAGACAAGGGTGGTTGTGATATGTGGGCTGAGGTGGCTGAGGAAATACAAGGAGGCACGTTTGAGGAAGAAGTGAGTCTGGGTGAACAGACAAGTTTGGAGAGAGCATCCTCGTGGGCAGTGCCCTGGAAGCAGGAGATGCCGGTGCGTACCTGGGAGTGGCAGAGTGAATCAGTCAGTCTCAGCATTTCTCAGCCTCAGCCTTACTGACACCTGGGGCTGAGTTAGTCTTTGTCAGTTTGGAGGGGTATTGTCTATGGGTCTGTTGTCCTACCTACTAGAAGCCAGTATCACACATGCACTCCCCCCCCAACCCTCAAGGCATGACATTGCAGAATGTCTGTGGGGAGGGGAAGCTGTCCCCAGTTGAACATCACTGGTCCAGCCTGGGAATGTGGGAAGGGTGAGCTAAGACCACACCAGGAGGGCCACCGAGTCTTGTCTTAACCCGGCAAGGACAACTGTTTGTGGGAGAACCACTGCACCCCATTCAGTGAGATGGAGATAACCTAAACTAAAGCTTAGAGAGATTTGGGTTTGTTTTTATTCTTCTAATTTAGAAATATTTTTAGGGGCAGGCATTGTGGCGCAGGATGTTAAGCTGCCACTTGAGGACCACAGCCCATATCGAGTGCCTGTTTCCAGTCCCGGCTCCTCCACTTCCAATCCAGCTTCCTGCTAATACGCACCCTGGGAGGCAGTGGACGACGACTCACGTACTTGGGTGCCTGTCTTCCATGTAGGAGACCTGGATAGAGGTCTGGGCTCCTGGCTTCAGCCTGACCTAGCTATTGTAGGCATTTGGGAATTCATATATAAATAAAATTTTGTGTGTTACAAAGAAGTTTCAAAATTCCTGGAAATTTTGCATTTTTAAATTCCAGTTTCCCACAAACTTTTTGAAAATTTTTTTTTAATTTTATTTGAAAGGCTGAGAAATAAAGAAAGAGATAGAACTTCCATCTGCTGATTCACCCCCCCCCAAATGTCCGCAACATTCGTGACTGGTTGTTTTTTGGTTTTTTTGTTTGTTTTAAGATTTATCTATCTATTTAAAAAGCAGAGTTACAGAGGCAGAGAAAGAAAGAGAGGTCTTCCATCTGCTGCTTCACTCCCCAAGTGGCCACAATAGCTGGAGCTGGGCTGATCCAAAAGCAGGAGTCAGGAGCTTCTTCCAGGTCTCCCACATGAGTGCAGGAGCCCAAGGACTTGGGCCATCTTCCATTGCTTTCCAGGCCACAGCAGAGAGCTGGATCAGAAGCGGAGCAGCTAGGACTCGAACCGGCACCCATATGGGATGCTGATTGTGCAGGCAGCAGCTTTACCCACTACGCCACAGTATCAGCCCCAAAGCTCTTTTATATGCTTAAATTTTTTTAATTAAATTTTTTAAAGATTTATTTATATTTATTTGAAAGACAGAGTTGCAGAGAGAGGGAGAGAGAGAGAGGTTTTCCATCCGCTGGTTCACTCCCCAAATGGCTGCAACAACCGGAGCTGAGCCGATCCAAAACCAGGAGCCAGGAGCTTCTTCTGGGTCTCCCTTGTGGGTGCAGAGGGCCAAGAACATCTTCCACTGCTTTCCCAGGCCACAGCAGAGAGCTGGATCGGAAGTGGAGCAGCCAGGACTAGAACCGGCGCCTATATAGAATGCTGGCGCTTCAGGCCAGGGCTTGAACCTGCTGCGCCACAGTACTGGCTCCTTCATCTTTGAAAGGCAGAGAGAGGGAGACAGATCTTTCATCTGCTGATTTACTTCCCAAATGCCTGCAGATAGCCAGGGCTGAGTCAGGCTGAAGTCAGGAACCCAAACTCTATCTGTATTTCACATGGGTGGCAGGGACCCAAGAACTTGAGTCATCACCTGCTGCCTCCCAGGATGAACATTAGCAGGAAGCTGGATCGGAAATAGGGAGCTGGGGCTCAAACCAGGCACTCTGATGTGGGATGCAGGCATCCCAAGTGACAGGTGCTGTGCCAGACACCTGCCCCCAAAATAATGCGTAATTTTTTAAAAAATTTATTTATTTATTTGAAAGAGTTACACAGAGAGAGAAGGAGAGGCAGAGAGAGAGAAGAGAGATCTTCCATCCGCTGGTTCATTCCCCAATTGGCTACAGTGGCCAAAGCCGCACCAATCAGGAGCCAGGAGCTTCTTCCAGGTTTCCAATGTGGGTGCAGGGGCCCAAGGACATGGGCCATTTTCTACTGCTTTCCCAGGCCATAGTAGAGAGCTGGATCGGAAGTGGAGCAGCTGGGACTCAAACCGGCGCCTATAAGGGATACGGACACTGTAGGCAGCAGCTTTACCCACTATGCCACAGTGCTGGCCCCCAGCCATATTACTTTAATGGGTGGGGCCGATGCCGTGGCTCACTGGGTTAATCCTCTGCCTTCGGCACCAGCATCCCATATGGGCACTGGTTCTAGTCCCGGTTCCTCCTCTCCTGGTCCAGCTCTCCTTTATGGCCTGGGATAGCAGTAGAAGATGGCTCAAGTGCTTGGGTCCCTACACCCGCATGGGAGACCAGGAAGAAGCACCTGGCTCCTGGCTTTGGATCAGCGGAGCTCCGGCCATAGCAGCCATTTGGGGAGTGAACCAACGGAAGGAAGACCTTTCTCTGTCTCTCTCACTGTGTGTAACTCTACCTGTCAAATAAATAAAATCTTAAAAAAAAAAAAAAAACTTTAATGGGCACAATTTGTTTCTAGTTCTTTGCCCTGTGAACAACAGTGCAATAAAGATCTTTGTGAGTTTCCTTCTTATATCTGTGGGATGGAGTCGCCCCAAACCTGAGTTTGCTAATTGAAAAGGTCTTTTAAATTTTGCCAAATATTGCTAGATTCCCTTCCACAAAAGCTGCAATAATTCACATCTCACCAGCAATATATGACAAGAGCTGCATCTCTGCCAACAACTGGTGTGAAGAGACTTTTTCATATTTGCCCAACTAATGTGTGTACATGACAGCTCCTTGTGTGATTTTGCCCTTTGCAGTTTCTTGGTAACTTTGAGGAGTGTCTCAGGAAGGGCCGCTCCCTGGGAGTGGTCCTCTTTGACCCGCGTGTTCCTAGACATTGTTCTTCAACAGGGTTCTGTTAATAAACTGTGGGAGCTCTTTGCTGTGAAAATATTCACCTTCTGTCTCTACGCTGACTGTTTTTTTTCCTCCTACAAGTGTTTGTTTCTTACCTTTGGTTACAGTATCTCTTGCCACAGTAAGATGTTAAGTTTGTACATAGTCAAATATGTCTCTCTTCTCTTTTACAGCTTCTGAGTCTCCAGTCTTGGTTAAGAAGGCCCCTCCCCCACCTCAGATTGTCCGTATAGCCTCCTAGGTTCTCTTTCAGGATTTGTATGGTTTTAAGGTTTTAATCTTTACGTTTACTTCTTTGTGTATGGTGTAAGATAAGCATCGACTCTGTTTTCTCTCGGCTGGATACTGATTATGCCAATACCGTGTTAAATACTGTCTTCTTTGACCCCTGGAACTGAACTGCCTTTAACATGTTGGCTCATCGCTTCTCGGTCTTTTGGCTAAGATCAAGTGTAGCATGTTGGCTCTTCTCGTGTTTAATAAGACTTAAGAAAGACAAGAAAGAGGCTAGGCCCCAGAACCTCACCTGTGTGGTCCTGCTTTTGTGCCCTGCCCGGTGACGGTTGGCCCGCGAGAGCTTCCTTGCCTCTGCTTCCCTTCTAGGTGCTGCTCGCTGATGAGGAGGTCGCCCCCGCTGCCGCTGCAGGGCCCCTGAAAGAGGAGAAGGACCTGCCTGGGGAAGGGCTGTCTCCCCTGCTCCCGGTTCAGTCCATCAAGGAGGAGGAAATCCGGCCAGGGGAGGAGGCACCTCACTTGGCGAGGCCCATCAAAGTGGAGAGCCCGCCCTTGGAGGAGTGGCCCTCCTCGTCCCCGTCTTTCAAAGAGGAGTCATCTCACTCCTGGGAGGATTCGTCCCACTCTCCCACCCCGAGGCCCAAGAAGGCCTACAGCGAGCTCCAGTCCCCGGGCCGGAGTGTCTCGGAAATGCTCGTGATCAAACGAAGGCAGCGGAGGGAGATGAGCCGGTCTCGAAGGAAACAGCACCTGCTGCCCCCCTGCGTGGACGAGCCCGAGCTGCTCTTCTCCGAGGGCCCCAGCACTTGGCGGCGAGCAGAGCTCCCCTTCCTGGCGGAGTCCTCAGAGCCCGCCTCCCAGGAGGAGGCAGGGCCTTTCAAGACCCCCATTAAGGAGACACTGCCCATCTCGTCCACTCCAAGCAAATCTGTCCTCCCCAGAACCCCCGAGTCCTGGAGGCTCACACCCCCAGCCAGGGTTGGGGAGCTGGAGTTCAGCCCTGTACGAACCCCCCAGGGTGCCTTTGGCCCCCTGCCCGACTCCCTGGGGCTGATGGAGCTGAGCACTACCCCGCTGAAAAGCGTTCCTCTCTTTGACTCACCCCGGGAGCTCCTCAATTCAGAACCCTTTGACCTGGCTGCTGACCCCTTTGGCCACTCTCCCCGCTCAGAAATGGAAGCCCCCAAACCAGGCTCCCCAGAGCTGCAGGTTCCCAGCCTTTCAGCCAATCGGTCTCTAACGGAAGGCCTGGTCCTGGACACAATGAATGAGAGCCTCAGCAAGATCCTGCTGGACATCAGCTTCCCTGGCCTGGAGGAGGACCCACTGGGCCCTGACAACATCAACTGGTCTCAGTTCATTCCTGAGCTGCGGTAGAAACCCGACCGTGCCCTGGCCCCTCAAGCTGCCCACCACTGGAGGCACCGCTGTGATAGGGAGACCCAAGGCTTAGTGCACGCCAAGCCCTCTGAGCAAGGACAGCAGGCGGGGATTGATCTCGGCTCCACCTGGCCTGATTCGGCCACGGCGGCAGTCACACCTTAGCCACTGCTGCTGAGACCTCTGCCAGCAGTCGTGCCTTGGGAGCTGCCCTCCGAGCCACTCGTGCCCCCCAAGCCACTCGTGTCCCCCAGGAGCACCTGACTCCCGTCCTCTCCCTGCCAGGAGCAGAAGGGTGGGAAGGACAAAAACCAGGGGGGTGAGAAGAGGGTGAGAACACCACAGCCACGCCCATCCTGTGCCCAGCAGTCTCGCCTTCTCTGCTCCTCACAGGGTGGCTGCTGTGAATAGTGTCAGTTCTCCAAATCGTCCTCTAATTATAGACGTGGGCTTATTTCCTTAGACCGCTGTGTAGAGACTGCCAGGAGAAGGGCGTAGGAAGACGAGGGTTTTCAGTTTGCTTCTGTTCCATGCTTTTGGTTGCTAGAGAAGGGAGGATGTGCGGTGCATGGTTTCTTCCAGGCCCAGGGTACCTGACTCCAGGCTTCATCACCATAGGTGCCCAGACAAGCAGACCTGCCTGCCGGGGGCCCTCTTCCTGCCCCTCCCTCCCACCTCCCCGTGTTTCCAAGTCAGCTTTCCTGCAAGAAGCAATCCTGGTTGAAAAGGTCTTTTGCGATGGTTTTGGAGTTGAATTTTGGGTGGGGGAATGGAGGCATCTGAGGCAAAGGGTGTGGGTACCCAGATAAGCCCCCATGAGATGTTTCTCTGATAATGTCCCTAATCATGCCAGGGAGATGAGCATTGACCAGAACTTGGGCAGAGGGCGTAAGAAGGCTGAGAGAGCCCCTAACGTGCCTGGCTTCCTTAGCTCGCACCTCAGCTTCGCAAAGAGCCACCCTGGGCCCCAGCTGACTGCATGGATGTGAGCCAGCTCAAGAACACTACTGTACCTACCTACTCAATAAAACCCAGGCTGCAAGTGCTGGTCTGTGTGGTCTGTTGGTGCCTGGCCCTTTTGGGGTGCAAAGGGCTGGGAAAGAAGGGGGGTGCTGGCAGGAAAGAAGGGAGGTCATGTGAATCCCTCCCTGCACAGGCACACGTCCTTTCTCACACCGACATTGCTGATTAAAACTTGGGCCTTTGGGGGCTCCTTAGAGAAATCCCGAGAGGAACAGGCCCCCAGAGCCTGAGGGAAGGATAGGCCCAGTTCCAGGTGCCACTGCCAACTGAGGCCTGGAAGGCAGCCTGCCCTGCCTCCCTCCTCCCCACATCTTCCTAGGCAAGTCTGTCCAGAGGCAGCTCTTGTTACCGTCCTCTGCGGTCTGAGTGTATGAGGGGCCAGCGCCGTGGTTCAATAGGTTAATCCTCCGCCTTGCGGCGCCGGCATACCAGGTTCTAGTCCCGGTCGGGGCGCCAGATTCTGTCCTGGTTGCCCGCTCTTCCAGGCCAGCTCTCTGCTGTGGCCCGGGAGTGCAGTGGAGGATGGCCCAAGTGCTTGGGCCCTGCACCCCATGGGAGACCAGGAGAAGCTCCTGGCTCCTGGTTCCTGGCTCCTGGCTTCGGAACAGCACGCCAGCCATGGCGGCCATTGGAGGGTGAACCAACGGCAAAAAGGAAGACCTTTCTCTCGTCTCTCTCTCACTGTGGCCTGTTTTAAAAATCTTAAAAAGTATTAAAAAAAAAAAAAAAGTGTAGGAGGGAAACGTGTCCCCTGCCTGCCTCACCAGAGAGGCAAGTCAGAGGCCTCCTCCCTCCCTCACCACCCAGCAAGCATTACCATAGCAACCCCAGCAGCAAACAATGACACCAGAAAGGCCTCTCCACAAAGCTACCATCCTGGCTGGCAGGCCCACAAGAAAAATGGCCTGCAACCCACAAAGACCACTCAAGAGGCCAAGCTATCCGTCTCGAGTGAGAGAACCTTTCCTGCGGGTAGGCGGTGGGACCATCTCAGCAGCCTACCTTATTAAGAAACTTTCTATTTGAAAGAGACAGAGGGAGACCTTCCACATCCAATATCGCAGGGCCTAGTTCAAGTCTAAGCTCCACTTCTGAGCCAGCTTCTTGCTACCCTGGGAGGTAGCAGGTGCTGGCTCAAGCACTTGGGTCTCTACCACCGATGTGGAAGAACCAGGTTGAGTTCCAGTCTCCTGACTTTGGGATGACCCAGCCCTGGCTGTTGTGGGCATTTGGGAAGTGAACCAGTAGATTGGAAGATCTTTTTTTCTCTGTGCCTTCCCAATTAAATGAAAAGACGTTTTTTAAAAAAAGAGTGAAAGTTGAGGCGGGTGGGAAATTAAAGTCAAAATATGATCAAGGGACAGAGAATGTGAGAGGCCCATGAATGACACAAAGAAGAGTACAGGAACCTCAGATGAGCCGGACAGGGATAGAGGAATCCCTGCCAGGCCCCCAGGGTCCTGATGAGAAGCCTGGGAAAGACAGCAGGGTGTGCGCCTTATCCTGCCCAGAGCTCTTTGCCTGCACGGCCACTCCCCAGGCTCCCTTTTGTCTCTCCCTAGATGGTCCATGCCCATGAGTCCCCCCCAACCTCCCAGACGTGGGTCCAGCGTGAGTTCTTTGTCCCTGATGCACCCTGGGAGTTGCCAGGCTTCACACGGCAAACCTACCACCAGCTGATCCACAAGCTGCCTCCCTGCACGGAAATCAAGTCCAAGGTGCGTCACCAGCTCTTCCGCCCTTGGAAGGAGCCAAACCAGCACACCTGGGGCTTCCACACCTGGCTGGACGTGGGGCGTCTGCCTGCCACCTTCCCCTCGCAGCCCGACCAGCCCTACAATAGCAACGTCTGGCGCTGGCTCACCCACTCCGATGCCTACCGCGATCCCCCAGCAGGGCCCCTCATCCCCCCTCCCTCTTGGATGGGACCCCACAGCTTTCTGACCTTCATCAGCTACACTCCCATCTTCTTGGACGCAAACAGGAAGAACGAGGTGACTTTCAGGACGGCGAAGGAGCTGAAGGCGGCGGAGAGCCTCAGGCTGAGGAGCGAAGCTAGGGCCCCTCCACTTGATGCCCAGGGCAACATCCTGCCCCCCGCGACCTACAAGAAGTAAGATGCGCCCCTTCCCCAACACACCTGTGCTCAGGTGACCCCTTCCCTCTCTCTGATTCCTGATTTCTGGGATCTCTCCTTTCCACCTCTGTTCATCTGAAAACCCAACTCTCTTGTCTGAAGGTGGCTGGAAGGAGCCGGTGGAGGGGAGGGATGGTACACAGAGGCACGTAATCATTCAGCAGAAATTGGGCAGGGTGAGGGAGTGCCCCTCTGCCTTTTTTTTTTTTTTTTTTTTTTTGACAGGCAGAGTGGACAGTGAGAAGGAGAGACAGAGAGACAGGTCTTCCTTTGCCATTGGTTCACCCTCCAATGGCCGCCACAGCCGGCACACTGCGGCCGGCGCACTGCACTGATCTGATGGCAGGAGCCAGGTACTTCTCCTGGTCTCCCATGGGGTGCAGGGCCCAAGCACTTGGGCCATCCTCCACTGCACTCCCAGGCCACAGCAGAGAGCTGGCCTGGAAGAGGGGCAACCCGGACAGAATCCGGTGCCCCAACCGGGACTAGAACCTGGTATGCTGGCGCCACAAGGCGGAGGATTAGCCTAGTGAGCCGCAGCACCAGCCACCCTCTGCCCTTAACACCTGGTAGGCCCTGAGGATGCAGAGACGTGTGATGGAGTCCCTGGCCTCTAGGAGCTCATGAGAAGAGGCTGTCACAACCAGGCCCTGGGTGCCAAGTGCACAACGTGTGAGATGTGGTGGGTGCTGCCACAAAGCCCGTTATTAAAGGAAAGGGCTGAAATAAAAGCTGGAGCTGCAGGCTTGGGTTCAAGTCCAGGAGCAGCCCTCTGGCGCGTTGCTTAATTTCTCCAGGCTTGACGCCATTCCTGATGAAGGGGAAGCAGATACCTCACTGGGTGAGGATTGCCTGGATTACAGAGTGTGGAAAGGAACTGAGCAAAATAGAGATATCATTACAGAAATTGAAGAGAGGGAGGGGTTGCTGTGAGCTGACCCCACCCCACGAAGGCTTCCTGAGAAAGTCGGAGCCGGGCTGCAAGGGCAAGGAGCCCTCTGCACGTTCCAAGGATCCAGGGGTCTGACTGTGAGAACCCTGCAGCTCCTCCGCTCCCTGCCCACGTGGGAACTCACAGATATTTCCTAACCGGGGCCAGTCTCCGCACTGGGCACGAGTAGCAGAAAAGGGGGAAGAGAGCTAAAGATAGAATGGCTCCACCTCCAATCCCAAGGGCATTCCTGGGGAACCAGAGAGGGAGGCTGTGGAGATTTTTAATCTTTAAGGGGAGAAAAAAAGTGGGTGCTGAGAGCTGGGTGACTTGGGGAGAAGATTCCCCAGGACCTTGGCTTCTCCCTGCTGTCCTGGTCACAGGGAAGATAGATTGCTAACATGTGCCAGCCCTGGGCATGCCCGGGGGGTGAGGCTTACAGCACATCTCAGACAGCCTCATGGTCAAATCCAGTGCCAGATGTTGTTCTAATCATCTCAGTTATGTGACTGAATCCCCCCGGGAGTCTCTGGACAGAAGCTATTATTAACCCCACTTCACAGATGGGGCTCAGAGTTCACACAGCCCCCTGTTTGCAACTTTCCTCCATGACGTTAACTTTCTTGAATTCTTGTAGCCTCACTTTCCTGATGTATGCATGGAGATGAGCCCAGTATCTTGCAGAGCTAAGAGGATTGAAGTGGCACAGGGGCTTAAGTATAGAAGGGGCTCAGTAAATGATGGTACTTCTATGAGAGCAGGACCCTGTCCCGGGCCCTGGAGCCGGGAACAGGGGAATGCGTGCAGATGAGGTTTTGTGGTTCAGGAGAAGGCTGTATTTGAGTTGGACCTTGAAGGAGGGGTACAAGAGAGTGAGGAGCTGAGAAGGCCATCGAGTCCAGGATTAGTCAGCTCTTTGCTTCTGTAAATAAATACCGGACACAGACTCCTTAGGAAGGAGGAGGTTGATGTTGGCTCATGGTTCTGGGGGCTCACAGTCCAAGAACAGGCAGCCCCATGGTCCAGGCTCCCATGAGGGCCGTGAGTAGTGGACAGGTGCAGAGCAAAGATAACACAGTGAGGCAGGAAGCAGGGAGTACACTCATCGACCAAGCCTTCGGGGGATACCCACACTAACCTCCAAACTACAGCAAGTCCTGATGTAAAAGCTTTAACAATTATTAAAGATGACTCTGGATCAGTCAGTAAGCATACCTGGAGCGCTGGGACCCTAGAGGAATGCAGACACAGGAGACAGGATCCAAGCTTCATGGTGCTGTGATTTTGTTGGCGAACTAGAACGTTGCATATAACCCTAGCAGCACATTAGAAACTGGGGCTTTTTCAAAAAATGCTGAGGTTTGAGCCTCACATTGGAGATTCTACTTCAAGTGGCCTGGGGAGCAGCCTGGGCGTGGTGGTTTTAGAAGATCCCCAGGGTGACTTTAGTGTGTAGTCGTGGCTGAGGCAACAACGATGAACAGGATGAGCCAGGTGCAGACCATGTTGAACTCTAAAGTACCTACCCTGTCTAACTGTGTTCTTTTGCTCCAAAAGTCCACTTCTTACTGTTCATCTTAACACTACAGGCACAGAGAGAAGAGGAAGTCAACCACTTACCCTCCATCCTGTGGTCCTCCCATCCCCCCTACATTGGTGGGGAGGGTGAAACTTGAAGCACAGTGGATGAGAAATAATGATGACATGTCAAAAGGATGGATAGTCTACTGGATTGCAGCCCTAGATTGTTCTGTGCTTTGCTTGGGGATGGAAGGGCTGGGGCAGGTAGGGTAGGTACAGTAGCATCAACATAGCATCACCATCCCAGTGCCAAAACACATGCATAGGGTGCAGGCCATTGGCACAGATCCATATCCGAGGAGGAGAGAGGGAAGGGATTCCCCAGGCTGGATTGCTGGCTACTGTGGAAGGCCGTGTAGCCCTGTCCCATCTCACACCTCCCCACTGTGCCTGGATCTCGCCTTTGACCACTCTGTTCTCTCCACGCCCCTCCTGCTCCTCCCAACAGGTACAAGCACATATCTGCTGGTGGAAGGTTTGAACCCCAGGGCCTCCAGCTCATGCCCAACCCACTTCCTAATTCTTTTGCCCAGGGCTGGCCTTGCCCGAACACTCTGCCTCATTACCAGGAGAAGGTGCTGAAGTTGGCCTTGCTGCCAAGCGCACCCCTGAGCTCAGACCTCATAAGGGATTACCAAAGCCTGCTACAGGACCGAGTCACCGTGCCCCTCCGCCAGTTCCCCGAGACACAACGTGGCACAGCGTCATCCAGGAAGAAAAAAAGAAGACCTGGCTACATCTAGAAGAGCCTGCATATGCGTGGGGACTATTGTGGGCACCCAGACCCTCAGGCTCCAGGATTGGCAGCCAACACTCCTTCAGCAAGGAGCCACTGGGGGTGGCCCAAGGACCACCATCCTCCCAACCTCAAGCAGCCTCTGTTCCCCAGGCTCTTGGAGACTACTGAAACCCTCGATTGTCCCATGCTTTCCTTGGGGATGGGAGGGCTGGACAGGCAGGGTGGGTAGAGCAGGAGGAGCAGGGAGGGCTTCCAGCTTCTGGAAGTGATGTGTGTGTGTGTGTGTGTGCGTGTGTGTCTGTTGGGGTATAAGCAGAGGTGCTATAAGAAACGTGAATAAGAAGCGGTCACCTCCACTTTTACAATGCATTTGGCACAAGGCTGGGATTAGTCAGAGTACAGACAGCCTCTCAGGCAAACAAAACCTCAATCCCACCCCCTCCCCGGACCATGCAAAGACCAGACACAGGTTTGCTTGGCCACAGGTGCCTGTGCAGGGTTTGTAGGAGTAGAGGTCAGGTTCAGGCTGGTGCTGGAGCATGGGAGAGTCAGGCCTGAGGAAGGTTAACCAGCCTCAGCAGGGGAACAGGAGCAGAACAAGACAGAGAAATCAAAAGCAGTTAGCCCAGAGCATCAGGCCTGTGCTGCAGCGGACTCCAGCTGCCTCAGCTATGAGGCTCCCAGGGGCAAAGCCTGAAGTGGGGCCAGCAGGACACAGTGGGCCTTGGCTGGGGTGGGGGTGAGGTTGGAGACGAGAAGGGGACTGCAAGGGGAGTAGCTATATGTGGGGTACCCTACCTTACCTCCTCTTGTTCCCATCACAACCCCCAGTCAGTGGTCTGCCCCTACTGGGCTTCTCTTGGTCCCCTGCCCCCTGCCCTCTCTGTCTCCACTTTCTTCAAGACCCACAGGCAGCTGGGAGTGGAGACAGCACAGGGCCATCGCTCAGGGTCATCCCCTAACTAGCCGGCAGGGAGGCCTTCGGGACATCACTGGTCTCTGACTCTGCTCATCTGTACAGCAGGACCCAGTAAATCAGTGGGAGAAATAACACACAGTGAGCGGAGTGCCTACAGAGGCGCAGGCACACAGCAGGCCTCCATAAGTGCAGCTGGTGACCCTGGTTCATAGCATAAAATAAGAAATGGATGGCATTTACTCAGCCATAAGGATGAAGGGAGTACTCACATGAAGGAGTACTGACACATGGTTGAAATGTGAGAACGTCACCCTGAGAAGCCAGACACAAAAAGCCACACACGGAGCCGGCGCCGCGGCTCAGCAGGCTAATCCTCCACCTTGCAGCGCTGGCACACCGGGTTCTTGTCCCGGTCAGAGCGCCGGATTCTGTCCCGGTTGCCCCTCTTCCAGGCCAGCTCTCTGCTGTGGCCAGGGAGTGCAGTGGAGGATGGCCCAAGTCCTTGGGCCCTGCACCCCATGGGAGACCAGGAGAAGCACCTGGCTCCTGCCATCGGATCAGCGCGGTGCGCCGGCCACAGCGCACTGGCCGTGGCGGCCATTGGAGGGTGAACCAACGGCAAAAGGAAGACCTTTGTCTCTCTCTTTCACTGTCCACTCTGCCTGTCAAAAAATAAATAAATAAAAAATTTTTAAAAAAAAGCCACACACGGGCTTCAAAAAAGTTGGTTAAAAAGTGGAACTACAAGACAAGTTTATTTTGGTGCGACAGAAAAAACTTGAAAGCCATGTATAAAAACAGTCTGAAAATGTTCAAAGGAAATATGTATTATACGGGAGGCTATATATTAGATATATTATTATATGTATTATATGGGGCTGGTGTTGTGGCATGGCTGTGACACTGGCATCTTCCATATGGGCACTGGCTCCGCTAATGCCCCTGGGAAAGCGGCAGAAGATGGCCCAAGTGCTTGGGCCCCTGCACCCATGTTGGAGATCCTGGTAGAGTTCCAGGCTCCTGGTTTCAGCCTGGCCCAGCCCTGGCCGTTGCGGCCATTTAGGAAATGAACCAGTGAATGGAAGACCTCTGTGTGTGTGTGTGTGTGTGTGTGTGTGTATGTCCCTCTCACTAACTCTTTCAAATAAATAAAAATAAAACCTTTAAAAACAAAAAGAAAGTAAGAAAATCTGTATTACAAAAAAGCAAGGATTTCAAACTTCTTTTGCACCAAATTAAACTTATTTTTAATTCAATTTTCCCATAAACTTTTTGAAGTATCCGCCTTTGAAATATCTAGAGAAGGCAAATCCACAAAGCTGGAAGGTAAACTGGGAGTTGCCGGGGCACTGAAAATATTTTGGAACTAGACAACCAGTGGTGGTCACACAACATTATGAATGAATTACATGGCACCAGATTGTACTTTTTTTTTTTTTTAAGATTTGTTTATTCATTTGAATGGCAGAGTCACAGAGAGGCAGAAGTACAAAGAGTGAGAGAGGTCTTCCCTCCACTGGTTCACTCCCCAGATGTCTGCAATGGCCAGAGCTGCACTGATCAAAAGTCAGGAGCCTGGAGCCTGGAGCTTCTTCTGGGTCTCCCATATGGGTGCAGGGGCCCAAGCACTTGGGCCATCTTCTACTGCTTTCCCAGGCCATAGCAGAGAGCTGGATGGGAAGTGGAGCAGCCAGGACTTGAACCAGCGCCCATACAGGATGCCAGTACTGCAGACGGTGGCTTTACCTGCTACGCCACAGTGCCAGCCCCTGGATTATGTGTTTTAACATAGTAAATTTTATGTTATGTGAATTTCATCTGCATTAGAAATAAATATAACACACAGGATTATGAACATAGTCTCTCCCCTTCTTTCTAGCGCCAAATCTAGAATTGCCTTACACAGTTCCTCTCCTTGCCACCTCTCTCTATGGTGTGGGAGCAGAACCAAGAGATGAGGAATTTCCAGAGTGCCTCAGGGAGTCCCAGGGCTCTGGAAATGAACCCATTCTCCCCACTCTGGATTAGGAATACTGGTGGCAAAGAGGGGGACCCCTTTACATAGGATCCAAAATCGTCACAGCGGCAAACGGAGAGAGCTCCCACCCACTTTTCACTTCCCAGCTACCCACAATGCCCAGGGCTCTGCCATGCTGAAGCCAGAAGTCGGGAACTCCATTCAGGTTTCCAGGGACCCAATCATTCGAGCCAACACAACTGCTTTCCAGGAATAGGGGGTGAATCCGAGACTCAAACCCAGGCACTCCAACATGGGATTCAGGTATGCCAAGCGACAACTTCACTTCTACACCAAATGCCCAACCCCCTCCATTTTCAGATGGACACACTGAAGCCCATCAAGGAATAACCTGCTCCAGACCAGAAAACTGGGCAGTCCCTGCCCTCACGCTAGCAGAACAGGAGGTGCTGCGTTGGGGGCTGGGACTCCAGGGCTTGTGCTGTGCCACTTCTCAGGCTACCTGCCCCCTCCACCGGGAGAGGCCTAGAGGTACTCAGAGGCTAACACGAAGATTTGGGGGGTGGGAGAAAAGTGGTCTTTAGACTCCATCTGTCCTCCTGGACGTGGGGACTCCAACAAGGCAGTCCCCAGCCCAGCCTACCACTTACCTGGCCAGCAACCATGAACACCTGCCCCAGCCCCTTCTCTCATACACTAATGGATATGGAGCCCATGATGAGGTGGGGGTGGGGGATCCAGACCTGAGAGGGAAGCAGGGCCAAAGGCATGGACACCCCTCTGCCTAGACGAACCCAGCATGCCTCTCTCCAAAATGCCTGCGCCCTGCTAAATGCCACCAGCCTCACAGACACTAAGTCATCCCAGTTCAGGTTCCGGGCCAGCACCCTCCCCGTCCCCGTGAGCTGGGTTTGCTGCAAGCAGGTGCCGGGTTGCTAGATCCTGAGCCGCATGACTCATTTTGTGAGCCTGGTTGCTGGTCTCAGGAGCGAGGTTGCCAAGGCAAGCTCAGGGTCTCAAGTTGCAGGGAGCCTGAGGAATGGTCGGGGCCAGTGAGTGCTGGGAGCTTGAGGACTGGGAATCCCTGGGATCATCGCCAGTCACGGCCCTCAGGGTTGTCTCGCCTGATGGCCATGCCTCTAAAAGCCCTGTAGCTGCTCCTGGAGATGACAAGTCAGAGCCAAGATGGGCAGTACGGGCAGCCCCAAGGGAGCGTCTACCTCCCCCAGGACCCCTGGCCTATCGTTTCTATTCACAGCTGCCTCGCCTGCTCCGGGCCCTTTGCCCTTGTGCGTCTTTTCCACCACCGAGCCTTCTCCTTAGTCCCGCTGTCCACTGGGCCCACATACATTTGCTTTTTCATGGCACAATGTAAACAATTGTTATGCCTATTTATCGTTATAGTTTTGTGGCTTCTGTGGCTGTTCACATAGTTGCCCATCTGAGGTTAGTACTGAGCCAACACATCCTATGCAGGTCCCAAGACAGAGCCTCCCAAATGCCTACCTGCTTACAGATACTGCGGCAGAGCTGAAGTTTGAATATTAGTTTGAGTGTGCCCCCAAAGTCCATGTGTTAAAGGCTTGGTCCTGGGGCGGGTGCTGTGACATAGTGGGCTAAGTCTCTGCTTGCAGTGCCGGCATCCCATAGGGGCATCAGTTTGAGTCCTGGCTGCTCCTCTTCTGATCCAGCTCTCTGCTTCTGGACTGGGAAAGTAGAGGAAGATGGCCCAACTCCTTGGGCCCCTGCACTTGGGTGGGAGACCCGGAAGAAGTTCCTGGCTCCTGGCTTCAGATCAGCCTGGCTCTGGCTGTAGCAGCCGTCTGGGGAGTGGACCAGCGGGTGGAAGACCTCTCTTTCTCTCTCTGTAACTCTACCTCTCAAAGAAATAAATATAAAATCTGAAGAAAAAAAAAAAGGTTGGTCCTCAGGATGGGTGCTATGGGGAGAGGGTGGAGCCTTTAGGAGGTGAGCCTACTGGGAGATCCTTGGGTTGCTGGGAATGTGCACTCAGAAGGTGGTTCTTGCAAGAGGATTGTAAAAGCCTGAGTTTGGGAGCCAGTGCTGTGGTGCAGTGGGTTGGTCCTCTGCCTGCAGCGCTGGCATCCCATATGGGCATCAGTTCTGGTCCTAGCTGCTCCTCTTCCGATCCAGCTCTCTGCTATGGCCTGGGAAAGCAGTAGAAGATGCCCAAGTCCTTGGGCCCCTGCACCTGTATGGGAGACCCAGAAGAAGCTCCTGGCTCATGGCTTCAGATCGGCACAGCCCTGGCCATTGCGGCCAACTGGGGAGTGAACCAGCAGATGGAAGACTCTCTCTGCCTCTCCTTTTGCTCACTGTGTAACTCTGATTTTCAAATAAATAAATAAATCTTAAAAAAAAACATTTATTTACTTCAAAGGCAGAGTTACAGAAGAAGAGGGAGAGTCAGAGAGATCCTCCATCTGCTGGCTCACTTTCCAAATGGCTGCAATGAATGGGGGCCAGGCCAAAGCCAGGAGCAGGTACTGTGGCATAGCAGGTTAAACCAGGAGCCAGGAGCTTCTTCTGGATCTCCCACATGGGTGGCAGGGGCTCAGATACCTGGGCCATGTTCTGCTGCTTTTCTCAGGTCGTTAGCAGGAAGCTGGAGGGGAAGTGGAGCAGCTGGGACAGGAGGTGGTGTGTCGCTCCCCCTCTTCGTGGAGGAACGACACTAAACCCTGCCTAGGCTTCATATCCGAGTCACGGCACCATTATGTCGCTCCCCCTCTTCGTGGAGGAGCAACACAGGACCCTGCGCTGTTCTTTCGTCTGCTCGGCCCTCCCCGGGTTTGCTGCTGGTTCTTCCCGGGTTGGCTACTATCCCTTCCACCTCCGTGGAAGGGCAGTTCCCCCTGGCCACATTCCCCACTTCCGCAGGGGAGCGGCACACCGCCAGCCTGATGTCACTCAGATGATAAAGGACAAAGTCGGGACTTTTTTTTTAAAGATTTACTCAAAAGTCAGAATTACAGAGAGAGAAGGAGAGACAGAGATACATCTTGTAGTCTCTGGTTTATTCCCCCAAATGGCCGCAAGAGCCAGCCCTGGGCCAGGCCAAAAGCAAGAGCCAGGAGCTTCATCTGAGTCTCCCATGTGGATGGCAGGAACCCAAGTACTTGGATCATCTTTCTCCGCTTTCACAGGTGATTATCAGGGAGCTGGATCAGAAGTGGAGCAGATAGGACTTGAACTGGTGCCCATAAGGGATGCTGGCATCATAGGCAGCAAGTTTACCCACTATGCCCTGGCCCCAGAGTTGGGATTCTTGACCACGTCTGTCTGAATTCAACATCCCACGTTCACGTTCAGCCTGCTTTCATCAATAGACGCAAGCTGCCTGGCCTTTCTTCCTTTTTTCTTTTCTTTTTCTTTTTAATAAAGTTTTAAAATTATTTATTTATTTGTTTCGATCAGAAAAGACAGACAGACAGACACACACACAGAGAGAGAGACAGAGAGAGAGGCAGAGAGAGAGTTCTTAAATGCTGGTTTACTCCCCAAATGCCTGCAATAGACAAAGCAGGGTAGGACCAAAGACAGGAGCCCAGAACTTAATCTGTCTCTGATATGAGTGGCAGAGACGCAGTTACTGAGCCATCGCCACC